GACAAAGACTGAATTTCATCAACAAATACATTTTAAGATACAAGAAAAGCAGCTAGACCTGTACAGTAAAAGAGATACATGGATGGCATGAGATCTTTCTTTTTGATTTTGAGATCTTTCTTCCACAATTAACCTACTAACAAATATTAGTTTTGGGTTTTTTTTTTTGGTGTGGGGGGGGGTTGTTTCTGTTTTTAGTGTAGGGATTGAACCCAAGGGCTAAAGAAGGCTATGCAAGCACTCCACCAAACTGTATCTATAGCCCTTTATTAAAAAATTAACTTTAGGGCTGGGGAGATAGCTCAGTGGCATAAGTGCCTGCCTGGCAAGTGCAAGGACCTGGGTTCCCCACACCAAGCTAACCACCAAAACTGGGCATGATGGTGCCTGCCTGTAATCCCAGCACTGGGGAGGCTGAGACAGGAGGATCACTATGAGTCTGCACTGCGTAGTGAGACCCTGTACCAAATAAATAAAAGATGTATCAAAAAATTAAATAAAAGACAGGGTGTGGTGGCACACGTAAGTATTCCCAATCCTGGGGAGGCTGAAAACAAAAGAATCACTGAGTCTGAGCTTTCTAGTAAGACTTCATGTGTCTGAGCTTTATGTGTCTGTACCAAACACATAAGAATTGTGGTAAGGTCTCATGAAGTACTACAGTCTCTCTGTGAACTTGTGATCCTCTTGCCTCAGCCTCGTAAGTGTTAAGATTATACCTGGCTATGCCACCATACCTGGCTGTCTCACTATATTTGAGACAGTCTCACTGTATTGCCAAGGCTGCCCTCAAACGTAAGGTGATCCTCCTGTCTCAGGAGTGTTGAGCCTGCAGGCCTGTGCCACCATGCCCAGTCAGTATTTAAAATTTTGAGACAGTCTAGCTAAATCCTCAGTTGCGCAGGCTGAGTACAGGGATTACAGATGTGCATCACCATTCCTGGCTTCACTGCTTACTATTATAATAAAACTTTATGGGACACAAAGGTGCTCCCATTCCTTTATGCATTGCCTAAGACTTACATATTATAATGGCAGATCTGAACTGTTGGTGCAGGGACAAAATACTTAAGTGTCCGGTCTTTTACTTTTTAAAAATGTATTGTGATTGATTGTTATTTGTCTTTTTTGAGACAAGAGTTTCACTATGCAGTTCAGGCTGGCCCTAAACTCATTTTGTAGCCAGGTTAGCGTTGCAGTGACATTCCTGCTTCAGCCTCGCGAGTGCTGGGATCGTAGGCATATGCCACCACAACCTGCGAGTTTTCTTAAAATTAATAACTTTTACTACTAGTTATGGTGGTACATGCTTATAACCCACCAACAGGGGAGGCTGAGACAGGAGGATAGCAAGATCCTGTGTCAAAAAAACAAGATACAAAAAAAAATGCATGCAGCTTAGTGCAAAAACTCTGGGTTCAATCCTTAGTATATCCTTCCCTCAAAAAGCAGTGAGCTGAGGTTGACCACAGACTGTCATTTACTAGCCTCTGTTATAGACAAAACAAGAATAGTCACATATTGGTAATTCACAAAACTAAGTGACACATGAGTTCATTATATTCTTCTCTTCTATATATGTTAGAAACTTTAAGGTAAAATTTAAACTATTTTTCAATCATTGATCTATTTCTATCACAATTAAAGATTAAATACGGGCTGGTGAGATGGCTCAGTGGTCTGAAGCACCTACTTAGAACAAGCTTAGCAAAGCACAGGGACCGCGGTTCAATCCCCCAGCACCACATGCCAGCCAGCCCCGCCCCCTAGTGGGCTGAGCT